TCTTTAGAATGTAATGAACGTCTTAGAGAATCACGCACTTTTTCAAGTCACGCACCATAACTTCATTTCGAGTGCGTGATTCTCTAAGACGTAGGGCTGAATCATGCGTGAGAGTGAATGGCAATCACATAGAGCACCTCCTCTAATGCTGAGTCAGCATTAAAACTTTTTTGTAAAAAAAAGGTTTTTGGAAAAAAAATGTTTTTATTTTGTTATCATTATGTTATGTACATTCAGTTTCTTTACTACAGTTTTTTTATGGAAGATAAATGATTACATTTCATAAAATAAAAATTGTTTCTTTATCTCTCTTTGTTTATTTCTTTTTTAAAGCACCTAGAAAAAAGATATCCCCATTGTACCCCATTCTTCCCTACTCCTTTGTTCATTACATTCTAAAGATGACACGACTAATAAGAAAATGACAAAGAGCTCAAATAACAAAATAGCTTGTATCTCTGAAGATATTAGTCTTAGGACCCATGTTAATTAGACCTTTTCTTCTTGTTTTGACCAATACTACCTCTTATCAAAATATGTAACCCTTTTTTTTCAACACCCTGTATATTGTATATGCTGAATTTATACATATTTACACATATTTATTTGTCTATATATAATAATCTATATATTCTATATATAGACAAGATATAGAAATATATAATGTCTGATTGAAGTATCATTCAAATTGATTTTTAATATAGTATTTATTCAACGATGTATGTAATCGAAATGTCAAAAGACTGTTTAAAAGTCTAGGACAACTTAGAATTTTTCAGAATATCCCAATAAAGTATGCTGTGTAGGTTACGTTTAAAAATAATTTTTAACATTTAATAAAATCATGTTATGTACAAGTATATTTATAAGTATATAACACATATATTTGCAAGAAGGAAGTATCAGAGACCATGGATCACCGCTAGCCGTCCAATCATCGAGGTTAAACAACATTGAGCGTGGTTAAAACTTGGATGGGTGAACGCGATTTTACGGTTCTTCGCATACAGCCGCGAAAATGTTAGCATCTTTATGATCTTTAAAATCCAGAACTTGTTTATAAGTGTTTTTTCTCATATTATTAATATGAATGTACACAAAGTATTATTACATATACATACCCATACAGCACCAAAGAAACATTGCAAATTACAATGTATTATAATATTGCACAGACGGTCCAGAGACATTTAATTGTAATATTTCGCCAACAACGTTTCAGTAATCTTGTAGAAATATTATAAAGTTTGCAAAATATATTTGTAACGTATTATAATATTATTTAGATTTTTAAATTTCTATTATTTCTCATGTATTCCAAACGCAGCCTAATAGCATGTATAGCAACGCCTAATAGTCTCGTGATTTCCGATATTACTGCATGGCGTATCGGTAGGGTACTTCAGATTTTAATAGATGAAGTTTGAGAATATACAATATAATTAAGCAATCACAAAATTACAATTTGATTCCCATAAATTTTGAGGTTGATTATCCGAACTATACGACTATTGATAAATCCGATCCACGTTACAAGGTTTACCGAATCCGTTATCTGTTTGGTCCGGAAGACTAAATTTCACTTATTCCATTTACACAATCGAGTCCAAATCCCCGGTAAAGCATTTAAATGTGTTGACCGAAAAACGGACGAAACCAGACTTGTCAGAACGTGACAGTAACCATAGTATAACCCAATATTACATTGCGTTCGAGCGAGCAAAGGGAGAGAGAAACAGAAAACTACAAAGTATTGAACAATACATATATCGTAATAGAGTGTAAAAGCTTGTTAAAATTACGAATTTGATTTGACAGAGCACATTTGTGGAAATGATAAAAAACGACTATGAACGATTTATGTATATTATCCTTATCTTGTATCGATATAGTAAGTGACGACAAGCAGATGATGGATTACAACTATTTAAATGATTGGTGTAATCAGTGACTTAAATTGCTTATTCTCGATCTTTGTCGCATATTGAAATAACGTGCAAATGTACGCAACTCTCGTGCTGACTCATGAAAAAGAATACACGGACGTTGTTCAATTATCGTCACTCTTTTCATCCTGTAATTTGGCGATCAATTCGTAATCGATGTATCCGCAACAAGCTGATAAGTTAACGCCGTCTTGGTAAACGATAGAACTTGTATATTCTTAAACAATAAAATTCACAAGGCTCTGACGTAAAATCACAATTCGAAGGAATAAGGGATGTAAGAGCCACATTGTATATTCTTATATATTCTTGCCTAAATCTTGTTTCCAAAAAAATGTAACACTATTTTTTGAACATTCCGTATAAAATAGTTTTGAATATGGTTGTCTCACGAAATTCTGAGGCAACACACCGGTTTGCGCCCTGACGGATAGCACCGTAAACATGCGCGAATTTTGCCGACGACATTTATAATTTATGTGAGTAGAAGATGGTACGTCTAAGCCGTTTCGTACATAATGAGAAGCATACTAAATAATTTGGCATTAACGAATAATTGTTGTTAAGAAAGTTAATTATGAAAGAACGTTAAGATAGAAGATTTGTTATCGCGTTTGGAATATATTATTTAGCTAAAAGGGAATTTTAGAGGAAACGTTTGTTTTAGCTCGTTCACGAGTAGATATTGCATAAAGAAATAAATGTACGTATATACAGACACACACACACGTACACACACACACACACACACACACACACATAACGTATGTATAATATATAAGGAGGAATGGAAAAGTTTTAAGAAATTTTTTTTTCTCGGAAATGGCTCGAGCGGTAGCGTAGCCTCGGAATATTAGAGTGGCTCGTGTATTTGTGAAGTAAACGTTGGTTCGACATTGAAGCTAATGCAGCAGTATTATGACGTGTATAATCAACACGGCAACTTTTGCCCTCAAGCGATGGTGAAAAACTTGGACAGCGAAATGAAAATAATTTAAATCAGGAATTTATAACTCTGACCGAAATAGTCATTTCAGGCAAAACTGCAGCGCATGAGAGACAAAGAGCAAACTATTTATTACGCTGAAACAACCATCGTTAAAATAGGTATAACTAAACGGAACAAACATGAAATTCTGATAAAAATACATTCATGTCGCTTTCAATGCAAGTTTTATTGAAGCTGAAATACTCGATATCATATAATAAATAAATTAATGGAAATGGTCAATTTAATATCAGAAGAGGAAAAAACTAAGAACAAAAAACACGGAAAAGAGTTGAAAATTAAGGAGAAACAGGGGGAAATTGTGGATGCAACGTTGTTGCAGCTTTTTCGCGAGTTGCCGCCTCGATTACGTGTGAATTTCGGCTCCATCGTTGCACAATTTACGCGGACATGCGTGCAGCGGGTCGGTGAATTCCAGGTGAGAGATTTCAAAAGACAGTTGTGTGCTCTCGCATGTTCATACAAATGTGTAACCCGTACAGATACATTCACATATACATGCAACTGTTCGGTGCAGACAGGACAAGGCATCACAATTTTAGATATGTAGAAATTACAGTACGGTAAAGTTTATGCAGCAAAAAGAGATTTTAATGAAACGCTTTATTAAAAATTAAAACGTAGAATTTTATTAAAGAAAAGAATAATTAAACAATAAACAAGTCGCCCATCTTTCAGATCCTTCAATTTTTATCCTTTATAATGGATCGTGACTGCCAACATAATATTCTGCGCAAAGATCATCAAGATACAAATTATCATTATAGCGATATAATCGATTCGCTCGCAAGCTTGCATGGGGGCACGTGTATGCGGTGTGCGCGCGCGGAATGAAAACCTGTGATGTTTAAGCGAAACTAATATTAGAGCGATTGCAGCCACGTAGTTAATAGAACGTCGGTTTCATCCCCGGGATAATGAAGCACTGCTAGAGCGAAGCACCAACAGTGTGGCGTCGATTGCATCATCGGGTTCGAACGAGAAATTGCCATCGCGCATTTGACCAAATACTCATTCAATCCTCGAATAATGTTTTACAATGCGTAGCATCTTAAGCGGCGCAAATTTGTCCGGGTTGAAAGCCCGACATTATCTTACAAGAATTTATTACCGAGCGTGAATCTGTGACATTGAAGAATACAAAATAAAAAGCGTGGATATATATGACAAAAAGCTATAAGCGAAGATAACAAATGACAATTTCCATAGAATGAATTCGTTCCGATGGAATACAGTTCGTTTGAAAAAGTCATTTGACTCACTGACTAGAGAATTAAAAGGGCCACGTGAGAGTTGATGCGAGCCATCTGGACGAATGTCGCGCGCCTCTGAAATCGAATTTGCAGAGAATTTCGCCAAACTGGAAAGACCGTCATTCGATAGCCGAAACGTCGATAGCTTTCGGCGACGTGACATCGCCTGAACGAATCAACGAATCCTGATTTCTCTCGTTCGAATTATACCGGGGGATGCAATCAAAATCGGTGATCGCAACCCCCGGAGGCTTCTTCATTATTCGCGGACATTGAAGCCGGGGAAGCGGCCCTATCCGCTCGTGTCGGCATTGTTTGCGCAACAATCACGCTAACCGAATTATCCTGATCACATCGGGCGCGTTCAAATACGCGCCACCTCTTCGGCCCTTTCCCACCTCCCAGTCTCCTCCCCCCCCCCTCCCCCCGTCTCATCAGTAATTGATTGGATTTTATTTGCACGATCTAGTGCTGATACCGATAAAAAATGAGGAATAAGGCATGCTCGACCTCTTTTCGCCTCCCACTCGAGGATGCTTTCAAAAAGGGTGCTTCAGTCCGCTTTCAACCACAAAGGAGTGACCATAAGGATGTATTTGTCTTGCCGATGTTAAGTGCCAGAGATTCATCTAAATGAAAGTAGGCGAAGAAATTGTTTCATTTAATTTCTCGACTCTCAATTTATTGATTTATCTGTCGCAAAGGGATCCTGTAGGTTCCTCGAGGCATTGAATTTTCGAGTTCTTAGATAAGTTTTAATTTTTAATTCTCTTGGACCTGCGTGTATCAGACATGAAATCTGGTCAAAAGAAATGGAAGAAATTAAGGAAACTGACGGGAGTCGCGAGAAATGGAGTCGCAGGAATCGGGCTCCGTGGAAACGAAGGCCGATGTAAACGGCTCAACGCGATCTTACGAGCGCTGAACTATTTCTGCACTCATACGACTCTTCACGGTCTTCGATTCGTCGTCGATCCCGAGTTACACATAATCGGCCGACTCCTGTGGTTCGTCGTGTTCGTAGTGTCTTCTACAATCGCCAGCAGCGTGATTTACTCACTGGCTCTTAGGTTCCAGGTAAATCATACGTATGAGAGGAAAGGGATGCTACTTTCCACGCAGTTTTATATATAATCTTCCAAAGATTCGCGCCATTGTTTATTTCGGATATTCGTTGTATTAACAGTTGATGGTATCAAACGTCCACCATTTTTATCAGACTTTAAAATATTAACGCGTTTTATTTAGGCCGCGCCGACGTCGATTGACATCGAATCGATGCATTACGAGACTTCGAATCTACCCTTTCCGAGCGTGACCCTATGTCCAAATGACCGCGTCGACTGGGACCGAGCCCTCGAGCTTGAACCAAGGCTGTTCTCTAACGTTACGGACAAGGAAAGTGTCGAAACTTTTCGGAAAATATTGGGCAAGCTTTCCATGATGAGCTTCGGGGATTTCGACGATCTGGATTTTCTGAAGGAACAGAGTGTTCATCGTCTCGCGGGTAGGACATTTTATTTCTTCCAAAACTTTTTCACGCGCATGTAAATGAATTGCAATGATATCCTTTGACTCTTCTAATTCCATTAATGTCTTGGAACAGGACACTGATGTCTCGTAAGACGCCGGTAATTAACTCATACACCATAGATAGGTTGCATACACATTGCAGGAATCTTCCACCGCAATAATTCAATATCGCAAACGAGTTGCAAAATGTTGATGCATCATTGCTATGGGATTTCAGTAACGTTAAAATGTCCGCCAGCAGAAATATTACAATGTAATACTACAGCAACATAAACAAGCAAGATAAACACAGCAATATAATATGCAATAATACTTTGTATTCGTATTAATAATAATACGAAAATACATTTATGAACAAGTTCCGGATTTTAAAGATCATAAGAGCTAACACTTTTGCTGCTGTGTGTGGAGAACTGTAAAGTCGCGGTCACCCATCCAAGTTTTAACCACACTTAATGTTGCTTAACCTCGATGATCAGACGGGCTAGCGGTGATTCTTCGGGTCTGACACTTCCTTCTTGCAATGTGTAATATACTTGTAAATATACTTGTACATACCATGATTTTATTAAATGTTATTAAATGTTGAAAATTATTTATGAACATAACCCACACAGCATACTTTATTTGAGATATTCTGAGGAATTCTAAATTGTCCCAGACTTTTAAACAGTCTTTGATATTTCGATTACATACATTGTTGTATAAATACTATGTTAAAAATCAATCTGAATGATACTTCAATCAGATATTATGTATGATGTATGTATAATTTATGTATTGTATACTGTATGTAATGTATGTATAATGTATATGTATACTGAATTAACACATATTTACATATATTTATTTATCTATACATATATATAATAGATACATATACACATAAACTATAAAAGTTAAACGAGGAAGCAGCATACATATTACAAACATAATTGTATCAATATTGTAAAATAATATTGCTACAACATTATTAAAGTGATATTGTAAAATAATGTCTCTACAATATCTATGCAACATATTACACTACAATATGCAATGTTGCTGCAAACTTCTGTGCTGTATGAGAATGTATGATGTAAAAATCGAGATTTTATTTCGAGCGTTTTTACTGCATGTATGTGCGATGAGTTTCTCCCGCGGGAGCTGAAGAATAAATCATTATCGGGCAGACATCAACATCACTCAAGTGCTGCACGAGGTAATGCCACGCTGCGACCAATTACTGTCCGCCTGCTGGTGGCGCAACGCCAATCGCAATTGCTGCGAGATCTTCGAGGTGCAGAAAACCGAATACGGTTTCTGTTACTCGTTCAATTCTGAATTAGCGCAGACTGCCCCAGCGGATCTCATGGAATCGCGGCCGCGAAGAGCGTCTGGCTATGGCGATTGGAGCGGCGTCAAGGTTACGATTCATCTGGGAAATATAAAGAAGCCGCCAAATTCCGGTAAGAACAACGCCGACATGTAATATTCTACGTGGCGATGCGTAAGAACTGGTGCACTTATTAATGAAGCGAAGAGATGGTCCGCTGATGCTCACTTCACATAAAATGTAATCTTGTATAAATAGTTTGGAGAATCTGGGATCGCAATGACCGAGGGCTGATTCGCTTTCTAGTCACGCTGCCGGTTATCACCTTCACTCCATATCATTTTGAAAGATACAGAGCTCGATCGGTGCGAACTGAACAGCTTCTCAGCAAAGTTATCTCGATTTCAAAGTAGAAATTCTCCCAACATAATATTACATCGTTATAAAACAAACATATTATATATTGTGGAATCGTTATTGCAGATTTATTATAAGAATCGGTAAATATCCCTTCTACCCATAGCAATAAATAGGGGTGTATCTTTGGGGAGGTAGGCACTAAGACGCGCTACTTACTAATTTTCAGCGAGAAAAGTAACGAGCTAGGACTAGGATTCGAACCTGGGACCATCCACTTGCCGGGCGAATGCTCTTCCAACTGAGCTATCCAAGTCCACACTCGAATTTAAATCCTTCTCGCTTACCTACTTTACTTAACTGAATAAAGTAGAAATAGTCCGAGGGGTAAACCGCTAAGGGCATTGTGGTGTACAGATTTACGGCATTACTGGGCATTACTAGACATCTAAGCATTTTTTGGGCATTAGGCCTTGCTGGGGCATTATAAAGATAAAATAAGATAAAATGAGATAAAATAAGATAAAATGAGATAAAATTAGATAAAATTAGATAAAATGAGATAAAATAAGATAATAAGATAAAGTAATGCCCACTGGGCATCAGTGGGCATTGGTGTACAAGATTTTTGTCAGCTGTTTCCCCCCTCGGAATAGTCATTATCTTTGCTCCTACAATAATTCGCTAGTTGTCTGCACAATCCTGGGCTTTTATCTTCATCAAAAATATATTTCTGATTTCTTCTAATCCCTTTTGCATTTTTAAGCACATTGTGTGCGTAATTTCGGTTCAGATCATCGTGTATTGTTTGCTATTGCATTATTTGGATAAAGGGATATAAACGCATTATTTCAATAAACATTTATATAATTTATATAAACATAAATCCAAATCAGGGCCGCAGAGAGAGAGAGAGAGAGAGAGGGGGGGAATCATATAATGGCAAACAAGATGTAAACTGTAGAATATAATGGATTAATAACTAATATTATTTCTGTCGAGATCCGTTAAATGACGAAGTATGCATCAACGACACGTCGTTACTAATCCACCGTTATGCAAACGCGCCGCAGAGCCTCGCAAATATGATTTTAATATCCTCGCGAAAGCCGCCGACCGCTAGGATGCATTTTGAATAGGACGCGACTCCCCATTCTGCCATAATGTCGCTCCTTTATTACCCATGCGAAATGGAAAGGGATTTATCGTAAACTGCAAAATCGATATATCGGCGCCGTATTGCGCGAGGCAGTTATTGAAATGTCGCCTTCAAAGAACTTCACGGTCCCTATACACGGTCCCGGCTCTAAGCCGCTCTGACCGGATCTACCGGAGACCGAATCGACGAAGGGAGAGAATATTTCCAATGGAAAGTTAAAAATTGTATCTCGCGTATCGTTAATTCCAATAACACGCTACTCAATTGTTATGCAGAGGAGATCGATGGCGTCGTAGTGATAATAAACGGGCCTCGTGTCTGGCCCAACAGCGGCACCATGATACCGTCGGGTTCCTTGATCAGCGTGTCTCTGGAATGCGTTTCCGGACACGCCACCCAGCGAGTCCTCGAGCTGGACCAGGACAAGCAACCGTGCCGATACGACGAGACCGGTGTGTACAACCAGGAGACCTGCCTGTCGCTTTGCAAACGTCACTGGGTCGCCAGGCATTGCGGCTGCAATCCGTCTTTTCTGTTCCCCTCGAGTAGGATATTTTGCACTTGAGCAAGGACAGCGCGACGTGCGACGAATTCGCTTAACGTTTCGCGTATGTTTCAGCCAGCCGTTTTCGCGACTGCACCATCGAGGATTTCATCTGCCTCGCCGCTTACAATGGTGAGATACAAGTCTCCATCGGAGATTTCAATTTACACGAATGTATTTTAAATATAATTGGAGTGAATGTAACTCGCTTTTGTGAAACGCTCGGTGGCGACGCAAGATCTGTTCAACGACTACATCGTTCACTTTGGCGACGAGTACCCGCGCGACATTCCTAGCATGATTTGCAGCTGCTTACCGGAATGCGACTACTACGTCTACGGTACCCAGTTTTCTAACGTGCCACTACATAACATGAATGACATTATGCTGGACGTGCATTACATCGGGCAAACTAGTTTTCGCTATAAAACGGACATAGTTATCACACAAATGGACCTTCTCGGTAAGTTCTCTGCGTTTTTCAACAAATATATACACGTCTGTTATACATATTTCTTTCTCGCTGAAAGCCTCTCGCGTAGTATCTCTCTAGTGTAAAAAAAAACACGACAAATAATCTCTAAAGCTCGTTCTTGCGCTCAGTGTCTAATATCTGTAGCTCAAGGGAAAATCAGATGATATTTGTAATTAGTCTAAGATTTAATTTCCGAGAAATGATACATCATTAATTATCACGTCGGATTTGAAGAATTTATGGAGACGAGACGAGAGAACCGGAAACGGAAAAACGTTCGTAAAGTGCCACTTAATTTAAATTCGCTTTCGAGATTTGCGGAGAACTTTAATTTGCGGCGCCTTAATTATTTCCCTATCTCTATTAGCCGCCCCGCGGTGGTTTCCCCGTGTATAATGAGTCCCGCGAGATCCTAAGTTACGAATTCATGGCACTCGCATGCCTCTTGCTCAAAATGTTTACGTCGCGAAGCGGCTATCTTGGATATTACTCGTGATCTTATCGCAAGAAAGTAAAGTGCCTAGCCACGAAAGATGTATAAACTCCCACGTATGTGTATAAAAGTTGTGCGAATGATAAGGTTGTGTGTGCACGCGCATAAAATTTTGCCCAGATTACGGATCAGCGTTGCGCCGCGGAAATTAAAACTAACATGCGCATCGCGCTTAGAACAAGCCGCTTCGATCCCGTTTAAGGGGATCCTAAAGCCGTCTGTTTTATCGACATTCTTTATTAGAAAAAACAATTTGATTAGTTTTATAGAAATAACAAAACTCTTCTACGGAATTAAAGTAGCAGCAAAATATCAAAAACGAAAAAAAATTAAAAATTTTACTAATTTTTGGTACACTTGACGACAATATTTGCGTGATACAAGAATTCTACAATAAATATATACAAAATGAGACCAGCATACTCTAGGGACAACATATAAAAACAATATCGTGCAATTAGAACTAAGATTAATAGCCTAGAAAAAAGATTACTTCTAATAAACGCAAGTCTAGAAGAAGGGAAAATGAGATATCTCACAATATAGTTGTAGGCCTTTTCGAGAGAGGTCGCTGCCAAACATCTGTCAGATTGTCAGTAAAGCCATTGTGTTGACGATGCTAGAATTCGATCCAAAATCTGAGCAATGTGTAAATTGCTGCTTTTTTCGTAAAAGTTGCAAATTGATTGGCTATAAATTTCTCCGACCGAGTAAACTTAAAATTAAAAATGTCGATAATTAACGTTTTTAATTCTATCTCCTATCTTATCGACACTGCTGGCGTTCGCCAGCGGCTTTAGGATCCCCTTAAGCTCACATCGCGCGTCGACGTGCGCCACCAATATCATGAAATGTTTTGCCACGATCATCATATTAATAACCCGAACGATTTGCATACCTGCCCGCAGTGTCTTTCGGCGGCATAATCGGCTTGTTCCTGGGCGGCTCGCTGCTCAGTGCCGTTGAGATAGTTTATTATCTGACGGTGGCGGTATTTTCGTCTCTGCGGTCGCGACAGAGGACCGAAGGGAAGCCGAGGGCCCGATCGAGCGTTACGCACGTCCACGCCACGGTGCTGCCCATCCTGGATTACAACCTTTTGAAACCGCAGGCGAAGAGGATACCGATTTTCGCGAATTACGGCCTCGCGGAATTGAATTTGAATAGATATTGAATTACCGTCAAGTCTTTCAATGGGCGGGCCACATGGACAGTCTCTATCATGGTCGAGCCATCCACGAAATTTGAGAAGGTAAAATAAGAGAGGAGGTTCATCTGTCCCACCCCTCTCCCTCCCTCCATCCCCCCCCTCTTTCTCTCTCTCTCTCTCTCTCTCTCTCTCTCTTTCTCTCTAAATCGATATTTGTACGTCGAAATGTGGACGCGTATGCATGCGCGAGCGCACGTGCTATTCCGCTAATGGAATTCCGTGTTTTTCCAAAGTCGAGAGACAAAATTTTCGAACAAGAACTAGATATTCCCGTTCTAAATCGCCCGAATCGAGAGTACTGTCTGTTAGAATAAACGGGTTCCGTCCTGTTCTTCATGGACATGTCGGTTATTGTGTTTTACCGTCAGGCTGTCCCCATAAATCAGGAAGTAGCTGCGATATTGATCGGATTTGACAAGGAAATCGAGAATGCCTTGCTCACGCGAAATCTGGTATCTACCTTCTAGAATCCATGCTCCTGTGTGTACATGCGTATCAAAGAGAGGAAGAGAGAGAAAGAGAGAGAAAAAGAGAGAGAGGGAGAGAGAGCGAGAGCAACTCGTATTTTATTCAACGTAATATATGATACGTACCTTCCATCTTGCCACTTTGCGGCCGCGTAATGCTTGACTTCAATAATACACGCTATACATTTTGCATGCATCTCAAGCGACTTCCTTGGCTTTTCCGAGATGGACTAGCGAGTCAAACAATTGTGTAACGAGTCTACTTACTCGTTATATTCGAGAAAAATGCTATTAATAATTTTAATGAAAGTTGTGCGCGAAGAGAAAATAAAAGATATCTCGAAAAAGAAAAGGCAATTGTTGAATACAAATACTGCTCGGCTCGATAAATTGATTAAATTTCAATAAATTAATGGGCTCGTGCATTATATTGTTATTAAGAACAGACGCTTAAACGGAAAATGTAAATATAGCCAGACAGCGAATTACTATATTTATACGTTATATTCTCTACGGTTTGGACATATTATACAATTAAAGGATCGCTAAGTAAGTAGATATAAAATAAATGTGGTTTGTTTAGCTCGGATTTCATCTTTATTCGTCGAAACGAAAACAGAGACATAAATAAATTTTGTTATAGTTCGTGACTTTTCGTTTAAAAAACTTTTATCCTTCTCTTGTTCATAAGATATGTTTCAAAAAGGTTGATTGTAGTTTAAATTTAATTAAGAAATATAACAACAGGATATAGAATCTTGAAATGTATCAATCAGTCTCCAAATATTTATGAGGTGTAATATTCTATTGTATAAGATTATAAAATTTTTCTTTACTATCGCGTGTCAAAATATTACAATATTATACACGTTATGCATATTGATATTATGTAAACATGAATCAATTAAACATTTAATTATATTTTATAATAAAATATCGAATGCGAGGTCAATATTAGATATTAAATTACGTTGCAATTAAATATTAGTACTGTTGATAAAAACACGAATAAAATTTACTGTACATGGTATACTGTAAGAACAGTGAAATGAATATGTAATTATGTAGTTTAAATTAAACAATTCTACATTTAACATTGAAAAAGAAATCCTTACAAATTAACTTTGAATAGAACGAACTCTCCCGACGGGGAAAAAGGTAATGTTGGAATTCTATGTATACTTTAGTTATCGTTATTTCACATCGCAAAAGTGCTTGTGTCGACAAAATACGGCCACAAGTGTACAATTGCAGAATTTTGGATGATCGTTGAAATGTACGAGTAACGGGAATAAATCGCGCGGATGGCCGTATATTCGGTGCACTCGGTAAATTGCCGGCCGCGGCTCACACCATTTGTGAGAGACGTTGTATGCACGCAAATAATGCATAAAGATCCCGCGCGTCGTCTTGAAACCCCAACACTCGCGACGTTTGTGTTGTTATCGATGCGTTATCGGTGCGTTATGCGGTGGCATTGTCCCGGCAACTGCACTATTTTTCTGCCTATCTGGGAGGAAAAAATTCAGCGCCGGGAACTTGCCACGGGGGAAAAAGAATAGCAGGCTCGACGTTACTAAAGACGCAGTTATATTTCGCGGCGTGGCGATTTTTCGAGCAACGACGGACCGGATTTTTCCCTCTAGACAGCGCTCGTTTTCACGCTATTGAAAATAACTGGCGCACTTAAAGCAGCAGATAAGACACGCGCCTCCCATTTTTCCATTTTCCAAACGCGACACGCGGGAAACGCTTTAAAGCGTGCGCGGTTGAGCCGGAAGTAAATGTACCAGCCGTCTGGCCAGGCTCCATTTGGCCATTTATTATTTATGAGAAGGATAGAGAAGAGAGGGATGGGGGCGAGAAGTCGGGCGCGCCAGCCGTCCGACCAACAACATCAACCATCCGGAAAAAAATCCCTTTCTCGCGCTTATCTCTTTTTAGGAGCGCCGTCCGCCGAGATTCATCCGCCGTGAAAGGGAGATACTTGACGGGAGGATATGTCTCTCTTCTCTCCTTTTTTTTTCTACTGCATTTTAAAAGCGCCCGTCGGATTGAGCCCAGCGCAGCCTATTATAAACTGCACTGCTACAGCGAAGTTACATACACACGCACGATCAATGGAAACAGTCAAACTCTTCTTCGACTGGACAACGTGTGTTACATATAGGTCCACCTATAAAGAGATTGAAATGCGGAAGCGGTCATTTTAACCACTTCGGTCTTTCTAGTGGTAAACTCCTGCGGATATTGCTCGCAGGATCTGGTACGGGCAGACCAAAGATCTACGGTTGAACAGAAGAACATAGAAAACGAAGTAGCTGAGAGAAAGAGAAAGAGGGAAGAGGGGGGAGAGAGAGGAAAGCTTGGAAGTACAAACAGAAAAGAAGGGAAGGGCAGTTGCTGCTCGAAGGATAACCAAGTGAGAAAGAGAGGAAGAGATGGGGAGAAAGGAGGAAAGAAGAAAAAGAGACGGGGAAGAAGGAGGAAGTAGAAGAACCGATCGTTGTCAGGGAAACGAAGGAAATCTGCATTTTGTCAAACTGTCGCTTGGAAGTTCGCGGGCGCGTCCGGAGCACGGAGGGTGAAAGGTGAGGGTGGAAGGACCGGAGCAAGGGGGAATAGGGTGGCGAGGGATCGTCGAGTGGCGGGAATGGAAAAAGGACGAGCAGCGACGCGGCCTGGCGGCCCCCGAAGAAGGAAGCGGCGAAGTTTCGAGTAACTCTCCGGCGTGCTGTTATCTAAACCCTTCACGTAGGCGTCTCGAGTGGATCGAGGTCGAAGGCTGCTCCTTGCCGGGAATATCGGCGCGTTATTTTCGATAGGAATCCCGCAGACGGTAACTCGCCCCGCCTAATTGACAGCGAGGCATTGTCCTGATCCTGCCGCGAATATAAGAGCCGAAAAAGAATCGAGATGGACCCATGAATGTTCTATCGAATGGGAAAGTCTATTGGTCGCGTCAGAGGTGTCGGAGCGGTGGCGATATTGATTTTTGAATGTGTCGCGATTAATCTTTCTTAATAATCCGGTGTAATGTAATGATTATTGAATTTGATATTTTGTATACATGATTCCGTGTATCAATGTCAACATCAATTTAAAATCATCCTGGTATCAATATCCCTATCATGTATAACTGCGTCTGAATTACAATTAATTATATTACGTTAATGATCTTATTTAACATAAATTATAATGATGATTACACTACATCCATGATGATTACATCCATAATTTAATGTGGGACAATTTTTACTTCCACATCATGTTAAATCAATCGAGCTCGAGTGTGCCACGAGGGGACAAAGCAAGATCTTCTTTTCGAAGCGAGTGATATTATTCGCGACATCACCCCTTAGAAGAATGAGCTCATTACGATAAATGCGACGTCAATGACTATTAAGGAGGACAGGCACTTTCAGCCGCGTCTGCTCTTCGGCTCCGATAAATTAAATCTTTCCTTCGACCTGCGTACGCTCTCTGTCTTTGTCCTGTCGCCTCGGAAAGGGGATCGTACGACTACGATGGTGGCGATGGGGAAGAGGCATCGTTTGCTTGGCTGCTTTCTTGGTAATCTTGAAATAGGGTACAGCAGTACGAGCGTTGGTCGCTTGCCAAGCGACTTTAAACTTCCTTCCTTTCCGAGGATTGGAAATATCTTTGTCGACGTGCGCCGTAAGGGTCACAGTAACGGAAAGCGGGGACCACTCGTCGAAAATTCGAAACATGGCGCGGCAATATCAAATGCACAAGAGGTACGTGAACGTTTGTGATTCCGCGATCGATGTCTCAAGAGATTTTCGCCGGGGAAAAATTTTTTAACGTTATACAAATAAAGGGTTCAAGTGCCTACGAGAAGAGGAATGCCAAAGTTCAAATAGTCGAATTGATATTACAGCGAGACAGTGGCACGCCTTTCACTTAAATATAAACGCGTATCTCAAATCCGTCGGAAAAATTGCGAGGCAGTTCGGGCTATCATCGCGCTCGAGAGTCGATATCACCGACGTATGTGTCATTCTCGACAGAAACGACGAGATATTTTACGAAACTCCCACGCCCCTCTTTCTCTCGCGCGATCTTTCGAATGCGTTTCCTCGAAAATGGAAATATGGCCTTCGAGCGTCGTCGTCGGCTTTAGAGCCGGCGTCGCAGTTAAATCTTCCTGAAACGCAATACCTTCTTTCCGTACGCAAGACACACGGTCTCGCTGGATCAAGCGGCGCGCAATGCGAGCGCAGCTGCACGCCCTCGCCGAGGGTTCGCGAGCGCGAGATGCATAACTCTCAATTTGCCCGTCGGCAGGCCCGATATTACTTCCCTCGTATTCGATACACAGGGTGTTTCGCCATACAATGCTTGCGGGAACGCATACGACTTGTTAATGTTACTCGCGAGGCTAAAACGACATTTTTTTTTCGAAAATTTGGTACGCAAAAAATTATCCTGAAACGTTCCATCGTTATGTTATCATTAGTGCAAATACTTATTCTA